GACAGAGTGAGACTCCAACTCAAAAAAAAAAACCAAAAAAAAAAAAAACCTACTCATAAGTGTACCATTTTCCTGAGTTCTGTTTAGTTGTTCTAGTTTTTTCTTGACCCTTTGAGTGGTCGTGGGAACTCCCAAACTTGTAATCAGCTAGTCTGAAGTGAGGGTGGTACCCCTGAACTTGCAGCTGGTAACTGAAGGGCAATCTGTGGGCACTGTGCCCTCTGACAATTTGCCAAACTCACTGCATTTTGAGTATCTGAATTCAAAAGACAAAAGAGATATAATTATAAAATCTGAGTGTTAAGTAATGACCTTAAGACATTACATATGTGTGAAACTATGATTATCAATTAATTTTTCTCTCTTCATGTTTTATGTTCTATCTAACCTATTTGGTCATATACAAAGTATGTTTAAGCTGTCCTGATTATAAAACATAGAAGTTCCTCGATTATTTTATAAAGCTAGGATTATCTTAATCGAAAACTTTACAAATAAAATATGAATTTATAGTATATCACCAATCATTATTTGTGCAAAATTCTATATAAAATATTAGCAAAAGGAATTCAGCAGTGCACTGAATTAAAAATATACTATAATAAATAGCCTATCATCTGTGAATGATTTAAAGTCAAGACACCTGAGTCTGGGCAACATTGAGAGACCTTGTCTCTACAAAAAAATTAGCCAGGCATGGTGGTGCATGCCTGTAGTCTTAGCTACTTGGGAGACTGAGGCAGAAGGATCGCTTGAGCCCAGGAGTTCAAGGTTACAGTGAGCTATGATCTCACCACTGCACTCCAGCTTAGGTGACAGAGTGAGACCTTGTCTCTAAAAACAAAAAAAGAAAGAAAGAAAGAGGGAGAGAGGGAAGGAAGGAAATTTGTCTAATTCATTACATCAGCAATTTAAAGGAGGAAAAAATGTTCACACTAACAAATGACAAAATGTTTTGTTTTTGCTAAAACTTAGCATGCATTAAATAGGAACTGAACAAAATTACTTATGTATAGCAAGATCTGTTCATTGTAAATCAAGAATCATTACATTGTTTAAATATATGAAATTTCAATTAAATTGGGAAAAAGAGGAAAATGTCTATTTCCACTCATACTCAACATTATTCTGAAGATTCCATCTACTCCAATACAAAATGTAAGTAAAAGAAAATAAATATCGATGGAACTTATTTCTATTTGCAGACCCATGACCACATGGCAGAAAATATAAAAGAAAAAAATAGAAATGAGGTTGAAAATGAGCACTATTCAAATTTAAATGTTAGTGAAACAATAAACCATACAACAGAGTTATAATACAGGCCACCTAAGAGAAAATAAGTCCAACATTTATAAAATGCTTAATACCTGGAATGATCAATACCTGAAATAGTTTCAGAATCCTGAAAAATCAATGAACAAACTCAAAAGAAACAGAGCAAATACATGAATAAAAAAGCACAGTACTGGAGATCAGCCTAAGCAACATAGAGATATTGTCTCTACAAAAACTAAAAAAATTAGCTAGGCCTGGTGGTGTGTACCTATAGTCCCAGCTACTCGAGAGGCTAAGGTGGGAGGATTGCCTGAGCCCAGGAGGTCGAGGATGCAGTGAGATGTGATTGCACCACTGCATTCCAGTCTGGGCAACAGTGTGAGACACCCCCAACCAAAAAAAAAAAAAAAGTACAGTAATCACGACTGGCCAATAAACATATATGAAAAGATTCTTAATGTATCGATAATCAGGGTAATAAGTATTGAAACCCATAGGTAGGGAAATGTGAACATTCATATTCAATGATTGAAGAGATTCAAAACTGGTACAATAGAGCAACAATCTGGAACTACATAGTGAAGCTGAAAGTATACCTAGCCTAGAGTGAACAATTTATTTTGACAATTTCATTTCTAGTTAACACCTTAGATTCTTAACTCTTTAAAGAAATCAAAAAACACACAAAATAATATTCAATATAGCATCTTTATTACCATGAAAATTCATTTACATCCTTAATCAGTTTAATGGAATATTTAAGCATGATTGATATGCACATATCAAGACCAGGTTGGAATCTTTTCCTTTCTATAGAAAAGCACTAACTCTCCTTTCAGGCAGGCAGCTGCTTTCAGAGGATGATGTGAGCTGCAAAGAAGAATCCCTACTCACCTCCTCCCAACAAAACCACTCACTCTATTTCTAAAATTACATCCTTAAAGACACTCATAGTTATGGAAGCATCTACCAAAGTCGTTCACATTCCAAAGATGCTAACAGATCTTAGGAGTGAGAATTCCACATTAAAGTAAGTTTGGGATACACTCAGTTAAAAAAAAAATTGCATCTACTAAATCTTTGAAAAGCTAACAATGTACACTTTGATTATTTTTAATGCTTTGCTTCATTTGTGTATTTTCCCAAGATATCTTTCTTAAAAATACCATCAAGATTCCAACCTATGGTGAGGCCTTGTCTCTACCAAAAAAAATCAAAATATTAGCCAGGTGTGGTGGGATGCATCGATAGTCCCAGCTACTCAGGTGGCTGAGGAGGGAGAATCACTTGAGCACAGGAGTTTAAGGTTGTAGTAAGCACTGATTGTTACAATGTACTTCAGTCTGGGTGTGAGAGTGGAATCTTAACAAACAAGCAAACAAAACCACAAATACCATCAAGAACTATTATTTCCTGAAATAAACTTCTAGAGAATATCAGGCTTAGGCCTTGTACTATGTTAAACATAGGTGTGCTTGGGAGACACACTGACCTATTAATAAAAACAGATTTGTAATAAATTCTAAATATATGTAGAATCATGAAGAGCAGAATCTTTGTAAATGAAGCTGGTCTAGATTTTGTTTTTTAGAAGGTATCTTCATCAAGTTTATAATTATTTTAGCTGTGCAGAATTAATTGGTAAAATCTTAAGGATTATCTATTCCTTAAAGCTTCCACCCATACCAAGGATCAGATTTTTTTTTTAATGGAGAATTCACACAATTTGTTAATTTACTTGGGTTTTACATTATCAATTGTGAGAACATATTCTTATAGAAAAAATATACTCCCTCTATATTTTTACATGTATTGGAATGTGTTTGTGCATGCATGAGTATAGTAGTACCTTCTAATTTCTACAAAATCTCCTTGACAATCAACAGTTATTTCTCTTTTAACATTGTTAATACTCTAGATGTATCATCTGTCATGATCTTTTCCTTGATTAGACCTGCCGAAATCTAGTCATTGTTAATACAGGATCAAGTCTAATATTGTCTATTCTCTTAATTTCTACTTTTTACTTACTTGGCCTTTCTTTACTTGTGCAGGTTTTATTTTATTGTTTCTGGATTCTTGATATAAATCCTTATTTAATCCTCCAACACATTCATCTGTTAGACAGGCCCTGTGTTGTTGCTGTGGATAAGTGGAGAAAATGAAGACTGAGCCCACAAACAACATTTCCTTAGCATATTAAAGTGCATTCATTTCTCATTGAATACGAACTTTAGTGACATCTGACAAGGTTAGATATGCAGGCTGATCATTCATTTTTAAGTAGTCTATGATTTTGGTTTTGATCTTAAATATTTTATTATTGAAATCTCAAACACATACAAAAGTAGAAATATTAGAACAATAAAACCTCATGAACAAATCTTAATATTTATCAACATTTTGCCATCCAGTTTCCAATTCTTTTTCTTTTGCTGGAATATTTTAATGCAAATCTGTTTATCTTATATCCGAAGTATCTCTAACACATGATCTTTATAACTACACTGCCATTATCATCCCTAACAAAATTAATATTTCTAAATACCATTTAATATTTAGCCATGTCCATGCTTCCCCCAATTGTCAAAATGTTTTTATTTTTTGTTCGAACCAGGTCAAAGTAATGCCCATATGCTGAATGTAGTTGATATGCTTCTTAAGTCTCTTTTAATCTTCTAATAATTGCTTTGCCCTTTTTCCTTTTCATGTCACTCACTAGTTGAATAAATCAGGTCACTTGTTCAGTAGAATTTTACACATTCTGGGTCTGACTGGCTTCTTCCTTGTCGTGCCATTTACAGTTAGTCCTCCCTTATCTGCAGATTCAACCAACCTCAAATAGAAAAATACTTGAAAAAAATTTTAAAATAATAAAATACAAATTATAAATACAGTATAACTATTTACATAGCATTTACATTGTATTAGAGATTACTTAAAGTATACAGGAGGATGCTTATAGGTTATATGCAAAAAAAATAATACAAATTATAAATACAGAAAAACTATTTACATAGCATTCACACTGCAATAGGTATAAGTAATCTAGAGGTGATTTAAAGTATACAAGAAGATGTGTGTAGGTTATATGCAAATACAGATGCCATTTTATGAAGGGAATTAAGCATCCTCGGATTTTGCTATGAGTGGGAGTCCTGGAATCAATCCCCCATGGATACCAAGGAATGACTACTTTGTTCATCTATTCCTGATTCCTTCATTATTCTGGCAATAAGGCTTTATAGAGTGGTGTGTACTTTCTATCGCATTATGCCAGGAGGCACTTATTGCCTTTTTACTGAGGTTAAAATTGATTAAAGGGCTCAGCAATGGTCAATTTGACAAATCCACTATAACATTCTCACTATCAAAGCTTTCACCTAATAGTTTAAGTATCCATTGAAGATCATTCTCTGGACCCGATATTCCATTAGGGTCTAAAAAATGGTGATTCTTTTCTAATCCTATCATTCTTTCTATATTTACTGGACTTCATAAATTAAAATAAAAACAATTGAATTTGATGAACTTTTGGTTCATATGGGAAAAATGAATGCTCATTTCTCCTCTTACTTATTAAGAATGATCAGTTGGTGCCCTAGCATCCTCCAAAGCTGACCAAATTGTGCAGACATAATCAAGCAAACTATCAAGCTATTGGTGGGATCAGATTAAAAAAAAAAAAAAGAAATTTATAACAATAACTCTTATTGTTTGAAGATAGGGCAACTTGAGCACCAAAAAGTATACTGACTGTAATGGAATGTTTTCTTTCTTTTACATAGTTTTTCAAACACATACGATTCGAAATTCCTAAGTGGTTAGTTTCTCTTATGCCATCTTTTAAAAATATTTTCTAATTAATCTTGAGCTTTGGACAGACAATGGGGATTGCGAGCCTTTTGCTTCCTGGAATTATAGGAAAATCATTTCATATTTCTCTCTAATTCTTCAACAGTTGTACTCCTAACAACCTCACATTCACGAATACTATCTTTTTGGCATGAACTTTCTGATGCAGCTCAAGTGATGAAGAACTTCTTACATTTACTACAATCTAGATTTTACCTAGAATAAATTATGTTTAATAAATTCTGAGAGGTGATAGAAGACACCTCTCTATTTATTGCTTCTGTAGGATCTTCCTTTCATATGAATTCACTAATACTAATGACAATGTTAACAATTATAGGTAATATTTACAGAATACATGCTATTTGACCATTATTCTTCCAAGTATTAACTAATTACTCTTTACAACACTTCTTTTACACAACGTGGCAGGTTGACTCTAAATTGGCCCCCAATAGTCCTGTCTCCTGGTATTTATGCTCTTGTATATTCTCCTTTTCTTGAATGTGGGCTGGTCTAGTAACTTACATTCTAATAAGCAGAAGATAGCCAAGGTAATGAGTTGTTACTTCCATGATTAAATTCCAAAGACTGTAACTTCTATCTTGCTGGCAGACTCCATTTCCTTCTTGGCTTGCATTCTTGATGAAGCAAGCTGCCCTGTTGACAAAGCCACGGTGGCAAGGAACTGCAGTCAGCCTTCAGCCAATAGCCAGCTAGAAAGTGAGGATTTCAATGCAACAGGCCTCAACAAAATGAATTTGGGCAACAATCATGTTTGTTGGGATGTGGATCCTTTCCAGTCAAGTCTCCAAATGAGATTTCAGCCCTGCCTGAAACTTTGTAGCCTTGTGAGAGATCCTAAAGCAGAGGACCCAACTAAGTCATAGACTCCTGATGCATACAAATTGTAAGATATTAGTATTACTTTAAGTTACTAAGTGTGTGGTAATTTATTACACAGCAATAAATAACTAATACATATGTACTATTACTACCATTTTACAGGTGAGCAAAATGAGGCACAGAAGTTTTGTATATTGTCCAATATCATACAATAAGAAAGTGGTGAAATGGAGACAGTAATCGATAAGGCTAAAGATTAATCTACATTCATTACATTATTTTCTCATAGGAATTTGCCACAGATAAACCATATTTAAATGGTAAGGAACATCTTTTAAAGCAACATATTCTTTCTTTAATATAAAATTTCTTATGTTTAGTTTTGAGCATGAAACAAATTTTCTCAAAAGTGAATTTTTTGATCTTCTGTAACTATTATATAAATGAAGGTTTTCTTATATTAAACTCCATTATGAATCTTCTGATGTTGAGTAAGGTGTGAATGCTGTCTAAAGGCTTTCTTACATTCCTTACATTTGTAGGGTTTCTCACCAGTATGTATTCTCTGGTGTTGAGTGAGAAATGAATAAAGTCTAAAAGCCTTACCACATTCCTTACATTCATAAGGTTTCTCACCGGTATGAATACTCTGATGCTGAGTAAGCTGTGACAGCAATCTGAAAGGTTTTCTACATTCCTTACATTTGTAAGGTTTCTCACCAGTATGAATACTCTGATGTTGAGTCAGCTGTGAGAGCAGTCTAAAGGCCTTTCCACATTCTTCACATTCATAGGGTCTCTCACCAATATGAATGCTCTGATGTGAAATAAGCTGTGAGTAACTACTAAACGTCTTCCAACATTCCGTACATGCATAGGGTTTCTCACGAGTGTGAATTCTCTGATGGCGAACAAGTTGTTGCCTTAACCTAAAAGTCTTCCCACATTCCTTACATTCATAGGGTTTCTCACCAGTATGAATACTCTGATGGACAGTAAGTTGTTGGCATATTCTAAAAGCCTTCCCACATTCCTTACATTCATAGGGTTTCTCACCAAAATGAATTTTCTGATGTATTCTAAGGTCTGGCCCACATACAAAGGCCTTCCCACACTCTTTACACTCATAGAGCTTCTCAGCAGTATGAAGTCTCTGATGTCGAGTAAGGTGTGTACACTGTCTAAAGGTCTTCCCACATTCCTTACATTCATAGGGTTTCTCACCAGTGTGAATTCTCTGATGTCGAGCCAGTTGCTGATGTACTCTAAAGGCCTTTCCACATTCCTTACATTCATAGGGTTTTTCCCCAGTATGAAGTCTTTGATGTTGAGTAAGTTCTTGGAGCACTGTAAAGGCCTTCCCACAATCCTTACATTCATAAGGTTTCTCACCAGTATGAAGTTTGTGATGTCGAATAAGGTGTGCACGCTGTCTGAACGCCTGCCCACATTCCTTACATTTATAAGGTTTCTCACCAGTATGAATTCTCAGGTGTTGACTAAGTGTTGAGCGACGAATAAAGGTCTTCCTACATTCCTTACATTCATATAACTTTTCCCCATTATGAATTATCTGATATTCAGTAAGAAAACTGTGTTTTTTGTAGGTGGTTGTTTTTTCAGAGGTAATTTTCACTTGCCCAAAATATTCCTCTTGTGGTTCCTTTTGCCCTTCAGTCTTGCTTTTCCATTCCCAATCATTTCTAAAAATGGAGCCCTGAAGGCTATGGCTTTTAACTCTCTCCATTATATCCCACTGAAATGAATACATTTCATAAATGTCCTTTTCTGGAGATAAAGCATTGGTCCTATATCTGGACTCCAAATCTGAAAGAAAACAAGAAAGCAAACACATGCTTTTGTCCTGTTCCTGAAGGAAAAAAAACAACAACACACAAACAAAAACTATTATAAAGAAATAAAGGCATCTAAAACAATACCCATTACAAGTGAATTAATTAAATCTCTCTCAAACAGGCATTTCTGCTACAATACTATATACGTGTACCTAAAAACCTTATTTTCTACAAAATTACAAACCAAAAATAACTGGGTTTATGGGGAAACTAGGACTGGTGCAGACCACTCAACTCTATGCATCTTTATCAGCAGAGCACTAAAAAATATTATAGTTGATATCTCAAGGATAATCTAAAAGGCTTTAGATGGCTAAAGGCCACTTTGCAGATAGTAAAACACACACAAAATAAATGTGAAATGCTGCATTTCATGTCCTGGGACACTGCACATGAAAATAAAGCCCTGAGCCAGTGAGGAAGCGATTAAGGTGGGAACAGGGTAAAGTGCAGCCTGTCTTTAGCTAGAGGGCCATGCAAAGTTGACGGAATATGCCTCTGGGGAGGAAGCTGTGGGTGTAGAAACTTATTAATTTTCTTTAAATAGGGGTCCAAGGGTTCCTGACAATAAAGCATCAAGTTGAAGGCTTTTGCTTCTCCTGACAAATGTCATAAAAGCACTTTTACTAACCTGGCTCCACCAGACTGGGAAAATAACCTGCAGACCAACCATTTTCCAGAGTATACCGCTATTTTTCCCTATTGCTATTAAACTAATTTGTGTCATGGAACAGATTATGTTCTCATACATTTTGATAAAAGACAAGGGAAAAGTAGAGAATACAGACCAGGAGTTGTAGATTGGTGATTAGGAAAACAGGTCAAATCAATGAAGTTTTGATTTAAGTGTGGATAAGAATCACCTGGAGATTATACAGAAGTATCTTCAACTGACTGAAACAATCTACAGGACTAGATTCGGGGCATATTTTTGTTTTGTTCTTGTTTACATTCTCCAAGAAGTGATTCTGGTACTGATCAATGTTTCAGTCTCTCTACTTCAATGTTTTCAGTGATACCTCTTTACTATTAGAATAAAATATAATACCCGAGCATAAATAATAAGGCTTCTGCTTATCAACAAGCCTCTTCTCCCACTTACTCTCTCTGTCCATGGCACTCTAGCCACTTTCAGCTTGCAAAATGCCCCAGAAATCTTCCCATTAATTAGGACTTTTCAGGTTGTTCCCGCTTTAAGGAATCCTCTGACATTGCATGGTTGGCTTCTTTTCATTCTTAAGACAGGCAATTCTAGCTGACTCTATTTAAGTCTATGTACTTTACACTTTTCTCAGTCCATTTTCTGTTGCTTACAACAAAATACCTGAAACAGAGTAATTTATAAAGAAAGGAATTTATTGTTTACAGTTATGGAGACCAGGGGCTGTATCTGGTGAGGATCTTCTTGTTAGTCAAGATTTTGCAGAGTCCTGTGAGGCAGCACAGGGCATCACACAGGCTGAGCATGCCAGCTCAAGTCTCTCTTCCTCTTCTTATAAAGCTACCAGTCTCAGGCTATGATAATCCATTAATCCATGAATGGATTTATTCATTCATGAGGGCAGAGCCCATATCACTCAATCAACTTTTACAGGTCTCAACCATTGGAAATTAAATTTAATGTTACTAATTTAATTCCCATGATTATGTAATGATATGTACATCTCTAATCTTTTATACCATACTATAATGATTTATTTATATCCACTAGAGTTTGTACAGTTACTTATCAAGTCTACATTTACTCAAACTTTTGTTCCTTCCCAGGTGTGTTCCTTTCCACGCTTATATTTTAAAAAAAAAAAACTATCTAAAGTATTTTTCTTTCCTCTTTTTTTTTTTTTTTTGAGTTGGCGTCTCACTCCATCGTCCAGGCTGGAGTGCAGTGGCATGCTCACAGCCACCCCAGGATGATCCTGCTAGGCTCCAGCTATCCTTCCACCTCAGCCTCCCAAGTAGCTGGAACTACAAGTGTGTGCTACCATGCCTGGCTAATTTTTTATTTATTGTAGAGACGAGGTCTTGCTAAGTTGGATGGGCTGGTCTTGAACCTGTGGGCTCAGGCAATCCACTCACCTCAGCCTCCCAAAGTGCTGGGATTATAGTCTGAGTCACCGAGCCCAGCCTATTTAAGTATTTTTCAATCATGCTAACTGGAAAGGCTTATGAAATTCTGAGCAAATGTGATGGTACAGCAGGATGACAGTCAAATGTGGAAGAGTTCTGAGATCACCTGAATGTAATAGAGTGAAAATAAAGGTTATGTTAGATGTGGGCTCAAAGATAATGATCCAGATAGGGTACTTACATGAAGAAAATCTAAAATGCTGAATGAAGTAAGCAAAGAGATAGGGTGAGATGGCATAGGTAAGGTAGGAAATTATCTGTGAACACAGTTGTGTAAAACTCTTAAAATGAATTAAACAATAGTATCTGATCATCATGAAATAAAATGAGAAAAACCAAAATCACAAAACCAAGAGACATCTTCACTTTGTTTTAAAACTCCTACATTTAAAAAAAGTGTAGAACAATATTGAAAATAGCACATTAAAAACCTATGAAATATAGCTACAGATCTTAGAAGAAAATTCACAGATATATTTAAATTCTTAGAGCAATAGAAATGAAAAGAAAAAATATGAATATCCCTCTCAAAAGTTAGAAAAAGAACAACAAAGTATACTGAGGAACCCAGAATGAGGGAACAAAATGAAAACAATTTCCTTAATTAGATAACAGAAAAATAATGAAATACACAAATAAAAAACCCAGGTTGCTTGAAAAAGAAAATCAGTGGAACATATTAATCATTAGCTAAGATAAGAAAGCATTCAAAAGCAATAAAAAATGGCAACTAGGTATGCAGGAACAGCTCACTATAGGTGTCACACTGCACATTTTATAAGCAGAAGTAGCGACTGCCTTTGTTATGGAATATCTTTCAAAAATGTCTGAATCTCTCTCTTAATCAATAGGCAGGTTTGCTTACTTGTTCAGTATAATAAAGGTAATAACTCCCTCAGAAGAAATGTTATACATGCTTACTGCCCATAATAAAAGATCTTGGTTCACAAAGCTCAGGGTTCTTTTCTTATAACACAGCTCCCTACACGCTGAAGAATTGTCCAGACCCATCCATATCAGCCTCATGAGACTTGCAGGCAAGGAGGAACTGGCACAAGTATACTGAGGCTCTTGCTGCTTCTTATACTGTGAGCAATAAAATCCTTTGTCTCTGACTTAGGACTTTGCCAGCATCCATGACACTATGGCAGGCTAACTTGTTAACCTGCAAGTAGGGTGAAATTGACAACCCTTCACAGCGCTTGACACTAACAAAACAGTATTTTGAAAATCAGAAGGGACTGCTATGGCAATATGGCAATAAAGGGCAATTTTCTAAGAAAGTATAGAGAAAGTAATCAAAGACCTACACCAAAAATTATTTTGAAGATTATAAAAGCTTTAGAAAGCACATAACCCAGTTATATTTAAAGTAGCCCAGAACATTAAAAAAAATTCCAAGTTATTTTTGAGTATATAAAAAAGAATAAAAACCTAGTAAAGGAAAATTATATATCATTATCATTTATGAAAATTCATGCAAAAGTTCCCATATAACACTGAAAGAAAATATCACTAAATGTGGCTTATTCTAGCAATGCAAGGGTAGTTCAATACTGGAAAATATACTTTAAAAATTCATCACATTAATTATTCTAAGGACAATAATCGTATGATCATTTCTACTAGAAAACATCTGGCATCATTCAGAATTCATTCTTTATTTTTAAAACAGCACTTGAAATAATGAGAATGTATGTTACTTCCTTAACATGATAAAAAATATATATATATTTCTTTCCCAAAAGTTATCTAACTTAGGAAAAACTGGGGTTATGACAAGACTTTGGAACTGTTTCAAAACTTGATTACGGTGGTAGTTACACAAATAGATACATTTGTTAAAATTCCTAGGACTGAACACTAAAAAGGATGAATTATAATGTACATAAATTATATATTTAATAAGCCAGACTTCAAAAAGTATTTTTAAAAATCTGAACACAAAAAAGATGGTGATGCCCATGAAATTAATTTACAAAAATAATGCAATTCTCAGGGAGTACATGGGAAATCTTTGTGCCTTCTGTTCAGTTTTGCTGTGAACCTAAAACTGCTCTAAAAATGAAATTTAGCTTTTAAAAAGAATATAAAGTAACTTTTCCCCCAGGTCATCCATATTACAGTTATTTTTTTCTTGGTCTGAAGTGTTTAATTATGAACTTAAAAGTACTTTTCCTCTTTTTCTATAAATATTCTCCTCCAAAAATAAATATTTACTGACTTTCTTTAGTCACCAGATAGTCTCTTAGAACAGGCAAAGCCTGTAGGTCAGAGATATAAGTGGCCTAATGCAATGTAGTAGTACTACAGTGATTTGAATTAAGGATCAACATTATATTTTAAATGTAGTTGTGTAATTGGCTTTAAAGTATATGTTTTAAAAGGATAGGAAAGATATTTTTGTTCAGGGAATTCTAGCTACACATACATAGCCATAAACTTGGGTAGCTGATTCCTTAAATGCAGGTTGACCTTCATGAGATAAGACTGCCCAGCCCCTATTTATTAGAGTAATGCCAGCTGACTCCATAATACGTATCCTCCAAAATATCTGTAGGATATTTTACCAGGCAGCCACAGAGGTCAGGATATGACCCCACCTGTGTTGCAACATTCTGGGTCCTCCTAGAGGAAGTATTATACCTGCTTTGAATGAAGCAGCTCTTAGAGGAAATATCACCAACTGGTTCCTCCCCCAGAGACCTCAGAAACATAAGAGGTGGCACATAAGCTGGCTTGTATTTTTTATCAATACTCTGATTCTGTATCTCAGTTAAAAATTCTATTCAACAAAAAAAGGAAGAACATAATTTATTCTCCTCTGGAACTAGAAAATTAGTATTTTATCACAATAAAATGCTGGCCTAATTATTGACATTAAATGCCCTTCAAATATGCAATCTTATTGTAAGAAATAAAAGATTCATATTGTGCAAAGAGGTGAAAATAATGTAATCCAAATAAAAACACCAACAGTTACATTTTCTCTAGAATTAGACATGCTGATTCAAAAATCCATATGGAAAAATAAATAACTAATAATAATCAGAAAACTGGAAAAAAAAGAGGAATGAAAAGGGAATATCCCAAGAGTTATTAAAAGCATACTAAAAAGCTTCAATAATTAAAACAGTATATTGATGACAAATAGACTGAATAAAGATGTTAAACTTTTCAGTAAACATTTTGTAAGTAAACATACTGTGGTGTTATTCTAAAATGTAAATATATGTGTGCATATGTATATTAGAATAAAGTAAATCAGTAAGTATATAAATTTCTTAGAACCTGTTATGGGCTGAATGTTTCCCCCACAGAATTAATATGTTGAAACTCTAATCCCTGGTGTGATGCTATTTGCAAGTGAGGTCTTTGGAAGGTAATTAGGTTTAGATGAGGTCATGAGGATGGAGCCCTCATGACAGGATCAAAGCACTTATAAAGAAAGAGACAAAAGCTCATCCTCTCTCCTCCATGTGAGGGAAGACAGCCATTCTGCTGGCTAAGAAGGGCCCTCACCAGAACCTGACCATGCTGGCACCGTAACCTCCAACTTCCAGCCTCCACAACTGTGAAAAAATACATGGCTGTATTTAAGTCCCTTACTCTATAGTATTTTGTTGTAACATCCAGGCTAAGATAGAACCCATGAGCCTTTCTTGAGGAATGCAATAAAAAATAACCTAAAGAAAAGCAAGGGAGGCCAGGAAAGTAAAACAAAACTAAGCCATAATTGGTATGGATTGGTATAGGCACTGAATCTCTTTTAACAAATGTGAGGTGAGGATTAGGGTTACAGAAATAATTTACATGTTATTTGCTCTGAAATGTAGAAATAGTATACCTAACAAAAGAAAGGAAAGGAGACTTCTGTTTCCGATTGTGACAGAGAAGCTGGTATCAGACTAACCCACTAAAAACAACTAAGAAGGTTAATTTTTTTTTTTAACTGTTTGATGACACTAATAAACAACCAAAGCAGCTAAGATTTGACAGCCAAGGTGCTGCAGAGAAAGCAAATATGTTGAATTAAGTCAACAATTTTATTTTATCACATGTAACTTTACATCATCATTTGAAGAATCCTCATGTTTGTTCTCTCCAAAACTCATATTAAAACTTAATTCCCAATATGGCGCTAGAGATGGAGCCTTTAAGAGGTGATTGGGTCATGAGGGCTCTGCTCTCATAAATCGATGAATCTACTTATGGATAAATGAATTAATAGGGTAATGTACTATCACAGGTGTAGGACTGCTGGCTTTATAAAAAGAGGAAGAGAGACCTGAGTTAGTATGCTCAGCTCCCTGCTACATGCTGTTCCGAACCACCTTGGGACCAGCAAGAAGGCCCTCAGCAGATGCAGCCCCTTGATGCTAGACTTTTCAGCCTTCACCATTGTAAGTCTCTTTTCTTTATAAATTACCCAGCTTCAAGTATTCTGTTAAAAGCAACAGAAAATAAACTGAGACAATGAGCACATGGTCACTTTCATTTTTTCTGTTAACAGGGTAAATTATACTAATTTTTGAGTGTTAAATTATGCTTGCATTGGTTTATCCTACTTGATCATTTTTATATATCATTAGATTTGATTTGCTAGTATTTTATAAAAAATTTTATACCTATGTATGAGAAAAATATGGGTTTATAATTTTTTTTGAAGGGTATTTCTTTGACAGATTTTGGTATAAGAGTTATACAGGCCCCATAAAATGAGCTGGGAGGTGTTCTTTCCTTTTCTGAAGGAATTTGCAAAATACTACTGCTATTTCTTCCTTATTTAATAAAATTTACCAGTGAAACCGTCTGGACCTGGCATTTTTTTGTGGAAGACTTCTGATAATGAATTCAATTACTTTAATTGACATAAAGTTATTCATTTTCTTTTTATCTTGTGTTAGTTCTGGTAAGTAGTATTTTTCAAAGACTTTTTTCAATTTAAGTCGCCAAATTTACTGGCATAAAGTTATTCATGGCATTTTTTTATCCTTTTTTTTTTTTTGAGTTGGAGTCTCACTCCTTGTCACCCAGGCCAGAGTGCAGTGGCATGTTCATGGCCACCACAGCCTCGACCTGCTGGGCTTAGGCGATCTTTCCACCTTAGCCTTCCAAGTATCTGGAACTACAGACGCATGCCACCATGCCTGACTAGTTTTTGTGATTTATTGTAGAGATGAGGTCTTACCAAGTTGCCCAGGCTAGTTTTGAACCCCTGGGCTAGGCAATCCTCTCGCCTTGGTCTCCCAAAGTGCTGGGATTACAGGCTGAGCCACCGCACCCAGCCTTATTATTCTTTTAATGGCTATAGAATTTGAACTGAAAGCCCTTAAGTCCTGGTAGTAGTAACGTATGTTATCTCTCTTTTTTGTGATGAGTCAAGCTAGGTGTTTACCATTTTTGCTAATCTTTTCAGGAAATAGATTTTTGGCTTTATTTTCTCTTCTTTTTCTAATTTGTTGATTTCTACTCATATTAATTATCTTTCTTTTTTCTTCTACTGAGAACAGCTTTCTCTTTGAAGTGAGGGAGAAAGTGCTATAATCAAGGTCAGTAGAAAGTTCCTTTGATACCCAGGCTTAAAAGATCTTAATTTGCTTTGGGTCTCAAGCCTTTCCTCCACAGGCCATGGGCTGGGTATGCCTCCACTCTAATCAGTTTACCTATTACCTGCAGTAATGATTTATTGGTGCCTGCTTAGCCTTTACTCACCAGCACAGTATCTTCTTGTCTCTTCCCTCACAATCATCCCAGGTTCCTTCCCTTCTTCATCCAGTAAGGTAATAACACCTGGTTTAGAAATGGACGGTCCTGCTTAAAAGAAAAATGTGACATAAGATTATAAAACCAAAAGTCCTTAGATTCAGGCTTGGTTAAACTTATAATTAACTATGGATCAAAATGGTACTTTATAAAGCCTAAGAGAAAAGAAATGCAGGGGAGCTGAAAAACAGTTACATGAAGGTAACCTCAGAGCCACAAGGAATAGATACCAGATGGTTACGAACAGGCCTTAATGTAATTTAACCTCACAGAAGCACTGTCAAGAGGCTATATCGTATAGTGGTTAAGAACACAGACTGGATCCGGATTACCTGGCTTCAAATCCTGTCTCTGTTGCTGTGTTACCCTAGCAAATTATTAACCTCTTGTGCCTAAATTTCCTCATCTGAAATGAGGATAATGATAGTATCTTTCTCACAGAATTGTTGTAAGAGTTAATAATGAACAAGGCTCAGAATACTGCCCAAGCACAAATACATATGGTGATATATCTATATACACATGTGTTTATTATCTCTTTTTACTGTCATCATTTTGCTGAGAGGATAAGAGATTTGATACGCAATCAAATCTTTTCTGATATTCTTAAATTTTAGTTTTTAATCCAAAATAGTTAGAACTGAATATGTCTAACACAGGAAACAGAATGCGTTTACTTGTGTTTTAAATAAACATTGTGACTCCATCCCACACTATATAAGTTCTTTTTTTTTTTTTTTTTGAGTTGGAGTCTTACTCTGTCACTCAGACTGGAGTGCAGTGGCCGCTCCTGGCCACTGCAGCCTTGATCTGCTAGGCTCCGGTGATCTTTCCGCTTCAGCCTTCCAAGTAGCTGGAACTACAGGCACATGCTCCCACGCCCGGCTAATTTTTTTTTTTTTGATTTATTGTAGAGATGAGGTCTCGTCAAGTTGCCCAGGCGGGTCTCAAACCCACGGGCTCAGGCAATCCACTCACCTTGGCCTCCCAAAGTGCTGGGATTACAGGCTGAGCCACCGAGCCCAGTCTATATAAGTTCTAAAGATTCCTTTGTTTTTTAGAGAAACTCAGAAACCCTGTGTCTAGGTATCTTCCTTGCAGGTGGATTAGAAAAAAGTATGAAGCATTTACATCAATTCTTAGCTCTAATACAATATGAAATCTAGTTTCTTGGACAATGCTTTTGCCATATTCAAGTCCAGCCCCTTAGATACTAAAGAAACCAGGAATTACAGAGTCTGAAGGACACAGCAGGCTGGGAAAGACTGGGTGTTAAATGGTGGGGCCTATTTCCAATCTAACAAAGCTCAAACCATTCCTTTAAAAGGAACAGAGAGTCAAAACTTAGTGAGCTTCTCTAAATATGTATAGTTCTGAAATTGACAGTTGAGAAAACTAATATTTTGGAGAAATCATCTTACCGAGAGAAATGAAGTTGCTATAGTTCTCCCACATTACATCCCTATATAAGTCCCTCTGAGCAGGGTCCAAGAATTCCCATTCTTCCTGTGAAAAGTCTATGGCCACGTCCCTGAATGTCACTGAACCCTGAAAAAATAAACTCAGGTATTACTTGTGAAAATAAATTAAATATTTTTTAAATGGAAAGAGAGAAGATTGAGGATTGCATTGCAGAGAGAAGATGACATAGCATACAAATAGCATAGGGCTAAAAAATTGTGGCATGAATAGGAAAGAGTAAGAAAATTGGTATCTCTGAAGCAGAATGCCTACATGTTATTGAATAGTTCTGTGGCTGCAGATATGGCTAAATTTTTATCCAAACATATCTGGAAATGAATACATTAACCCCCCAAAATCCCAATTAAGTGAAAGAGTGTACACAAGCATTCTGTATACTATGTGCCTTACCACAAATTCTTAAGAAACATGAAGTCTTCGGCCCTCTTTTGTCTTTAATAATCATAAAAAAGCATTGATAAAATTTCTCCCAAACGTTACTATAATAAAATCGCTAAGAAAATAGACTCAAGTTCATCACAAAGTCAAGTTTTATTATAAACATTTCCCCTGTTATAACCAATTCTTACTTTTAAAAAATTACTACATTGGAGTCCACATTTTTAATATATTAGATTCTATTTTTTAAAATTTAGATGTTTTAATTCAATAAAATTTCAAGTCTTCCCCAATTCTCAATATCTACAAAATTTAATACTTAAGTATCTGAATAACCTACTCTTTACCATCTATCATCCTCACTGAACTTTTTTGTTGTTGTTGTTCCTGTGTTACAGGATACCAAATCATGAAGATATTGTAAAGATACCACCCTGGACACCAGTAGTTTTCAATAAGGAATGATTTTCTTCCCCAAAAGATATCTGGTTATATCTGAAAACAATTTTAGTTGTCATAATTGGGAGGAAGGGGTGTGAGTGTTACAGGCATCTAATGGGTAGAGGCTAGGGCTACTGTTAGACATTCTACGATGCACAGGACAGTCCCCCTCAATAAAGGATCTCTGGCTCAAAATATCAACACTAGCTCCAAGTTGAAATCCTGCCTAAACCAGTGCATCTTGTAAAACAGACAATGGACTATATGTTCCTGGCATTCTGGTTTCCAAGAGAAAATAATCAGAGATCATCCCTGATGTCTCTATTTGCAGTCCTGATTTGATCACCTCTTATTCAACCTATTGGTGAGGGGGAATCCCTGCCCTGAAAATTTCTGTACAAGATAGCCAAATAGCTAACATTGGACAGATGAGACTGACAGCAATTTATTAGTCACATATACTCACAGTCTGAGGGAGGACATCACACATCATGCAGGATCACAAAGTGGTTGCACTCAAGAACAGAGCAAACAAGCAGGGGTTACAGGAGGCAGACTTTATAGAAAGTGAGGTGTTCCCTGGTTCCCAAGTAGGATGTGATTGGTTTGTTTGAGTAATTTCATCAACTGGCAGGGAAATGAAACCATTAGGCTGAAGACCAGGAGGGGTGTAACGGGTACAGCTGATAGGGGAACTAGCAAGATAGGAGGGTTTTCCTGCTGGATAAAGGGGGGCATATCTGGTGAGACTGGGAAAACTCATGGTTAAGTCTTTGGGGCCTTGATAAACGTATTAGGGCAGCACATAAAATTTTAGGTCTTATTTTATAAGACCCAATAACATCCCTACCTAATCCATCCAATCCTAAAAGCCTTACGTATAAGGTAGATCTCAACACATCCAAAAGCTGAGATGAATCAACACTAAATCTTGGAAAAACTTAGCTCTGTGGAGTAGTTTAGAGATTTCTTTACAAGCAGGTCCTAGTGAGGACCAAATTCTCTCTTTCATCAACCACAGATCTTCAAGGAAAGCTCAAAACAGGGACCTCTCACTTAACATCAGTAATTCATTCCCGAAAATCAGACATTCTAATGTACACTACATTATTAAGCAGGTACCTATTTTCCCACCATTTTAAATAAGAGTATTATAACACATTATATATAAATTCTATCTCTCCAACTAGCTTCATATTTTCCTCCAATATAGAAATAAAGTACAATGTAAGTCGGTGCACCCCCAACATCTTTGGCTTTATTATTTTCACTGTTTTTTACTAAATTCTTTTTTTTTTAACTTGCTTTATTTCTCCAGAATTTTCTTTAATACTTTCCCAACCTTTTAGGAATTCATTTTACATTAGACCCAAAAAAGGGCTACATACAGAGAGTGTCAAAACAATGTATACACATTTTAAGAAAAGAAAAAACTGTATTACAATTGTAATACTCAATATATACCAATAACAAAAGATGAAAACAAGTCATGTTTGACTTCTGCAATCAAAAGAGGTGCACACTGGTAGACTTCTGTGGTGAGTGTGTAAACTGTTCCAACACCATAGCAGAAGCAGCAGGATTTGTGGCTATGTGAGGCCTCCCACATCTTCCCTTGTGCACATCACACACAGTACCATGCGTCTCAAACTGATCATGAATGCATGCAATTATTAGGTGGGTTGGAGGTTCTGTTGCATACTCACGCCTCCATTGTCATTGTACTTCCACAACGTTCTTGAGTTTCAAATACCACTTCAACATGATCTTGTGCTCCTCGAACAACAACCATGCTTCCATCATTTTCTTTGTCCTGCCTGTCACATAGTGACACTAGCATTCATTTGATTGATGTCATCTTTTGAGTGAACGCCATACTACACATTGCTACTATAATCCAATTCAACTTTGAAAAATAATACATAGATAATATCTCTTAAAATGTATATACTTATTTTTGGTACCCCCAGGATAAAGTGTCCTATGGAAAAAGCATTTCCAACAAGAATATAATGGCAGGAATGGGTCCCACACAGTGTGATGCTCTGATGCCTCCTGTATCACCAACAGCACCAGATACACACATCCCCTTTAATGATAATACTTACAACATTCCAAAACATCTGCAGGTGGTTCCAATGACCTAACAATTGTATTTAACATAACAAGGCTCTTTCCGGATGTTGTTTTTGTTTAAAAAAAAAAAGCGTGTGTGTGTGTTATTTTGAACTATTTGATTCCACATAAATAAAGTTCTAAAAATGAGAAAAAATAATTTATGACATTTGATGTCAAGAGTGGTTACATTTAGACAGGGTGGTAGGGAATGAGTGAAGAGGGCACCTGAGATGCTAATAATATATTTTTCTTTACCTGGTAGCACAGATCTCATCAATTTACAAAAACTCATCCAGCTGTATACTTAAGGTTCGTATATTTTTTGTATATAAGTCATACCTCAATAAAATAATTCAAAAAACTTTTAAAAATGTCATACTGAGTACTGGGGATACAAGTTTTTCCGTGTAAAACATAAAAAATGATTGTATTGAGAGAAATGCTCTTTTTTTGGAGTTTAAGTATTAAAATCAAAAGCTGTTCCACTGGAAAACGTTAATGGCAGGACATACTACAGAGAATGCCTGCACTTTTCTCAAGGCATTTCACTTTTGCTTTCTCATGGCTCTTGACAGAAGATTGTATATGAGGGGTGACCAAAAAAACCCACAATTTATTTATGAAGAATTGTGAATTTATTCTTACAAATTTAAACTTCAGTCACCTTCAGAGTATTCTCTGTTTGATGCAATACATCTATCGAGACACTTTTTCCACTGCTCAAAACAGTTTTTGAAGTCATCGATTTGGATGCCTTTTAGTGCTTCTGCCACTTTTTGTTTCACCTCTTCTACACTGGCAGAACACTTCCCTTTAAGGACTTTTTCATCCAGGAAAACAAAAGTCACTTGGGGTGAGATCGGGTGAATAGTGAGAGTGAGGCACGGGGGTCATGCCATTTTTTTGGTCAAAAACTGCTGAACACTCAGTGTAGTATGGGCAGATGCACTTCACCCATCATGAAATGGGCAAACATGCTGGAAAAAACACCAAAAAAATACACTGAAGCCAAATGCAGCCTCTCACAACAATGCTAGCTGGTTCACTGATGCCGATGGGTTTCTACACTTACCTAGTACTACAAGGGGCTCACCCTCCAAAAATTAATCTAGGATTTTTTTTTGGCCCCCTCCTTGTAGGTAGGAGATGCTCAACATTAGTGGAAGACAGGATAGACACACAGAACACTGAGCTATCTGTCCCCAATCCTCACAGGAATGAAAGGAACTGAAGCAGATTCCTTGAGGACATTCTGCTAAACAGGAAGTTTCAAAATAAGGAATAAATGTATATACATGATCTAGAAACTGAAAGCATACCAAAAAGGAGAGAGAAATATTCACTTACATGGGCCATGGTTTTAGAACTGTAAAAACTGATCAGTCCTTTTCACGATTTCTCTGTTGGAGAACTGTACTGCTCAGACAAGCCAGAGCTGAAAGAAAAGTCGTGAAACTAGATGTGTTACAGAGCTCCCAAAATGACTTCTATAAATAGGGTAATTTCTCTTCCATTCCTTCTCCAAACTACTTCCCATCACTATACCCACACCTATCCTATACCCACATAAACTGAAGAAGAGTATGGGAAATCTAAAGAAATATAAGCCCTGAAGAAACAGCTAAGAAATGATGGACTTGCTGTAGAAGACCAGATACTTCTGCAGGAGGATTTCTGACCAGGTCCCCAGTTGGCAATGTAGATCTGGTCCTGATGTTGAATTACTCAGACTTGTCCTGAGCAACTCCTCCTCCTCACTCCAGGACAACTTTTCAGAGCTGAGAAAGGGCCCTACCATCCAAACAGAACCTACTTGGAGCCCCCAGAATTCCGCCTGAACTTCCTCAACCACACAGACTGAGCCTGGCAGCTCCTGCCACTGTGAGCCTGTACTGGCCTTTCCCCAGTCAGTGAAACTTACCACTCCAGTTTTCCAGTCAGGACCCCCCAAACCAAGACATCCAATCCCGTTTTTTTTACTATCCAAACTGGGGAAGAAGGGATTCATGATCCCTGCTGTTGTTCAACATCATTCACTGAGAATCTCTATGTAGTGGGGGTTTTATATACATTGTCAATTGATCCTCAGTACTGTTCTGCAATGTAGTTCTTCTCTCCTTTTAATAGGTCAGGAAATTAATGCTCAGGGGTCAAATTGGTTAAATGGCAGATGGCTTTGTTTTGACATTTCTGTAACTAAAAAGCCAGTTCTCATTCAAACTTGGTTTTTGCTTCTGAGGTTAAGGTTTCTACTTCACTCAGAGAAATCTGGTCATGGGCTGATCAATAAAAAAAAAAGAGAAATAACTAGTAACTTTTCAAAAAATACTAAACCTCAGGCCAGGCATGGTGGCTCATGCCTGTTAATTCCAACACTTTGGGAAGCTAAGGTGGGAGGATTGCTTGGGCCCAGGAGTTTGAAACCTGCCTAGGCAACACAGTGAGACCTCATCTCTACAAAAAAATTAGCTGGGCATGGTGGCATGCACCTGTAGTCCCATTTGAGCACAGGAGGTTGAGGCTGTGGTAAGCCATAATCAGACCACTGCACTCCAGCCTGGGTAACAGATGAGACCCTGACTCAAAAATAAAAAAAAAAGAAAGAAAAGAAAACAACTAAATCTCAGTAGATGGTGAAATAAGTCTCTCCATCTAAGTTCTGCCTGCAGAAACATCAGTTTGAACAATTTTCCATGAACAAAAACACCTTCACAATAGGCAAGGCAAACAGGTAAGAGATCACAGTACTTGGTTGTAGCATAGTAATAAGAAAAGATACATTGGAAAGAGTAGGAAGGACAGTTTGACATTACCCATATCACTCTCCCCCAACTCAAAGCAGCACAGTGCAGAGAGAGATACTGTCCACTTGGAGAAGACAGGGAAGTGAGCAGAGACGTTGCCTTGTTCCCCAACACTAGGCCTGCCACAGTAAAACCCAGCACAGGAAGACACCTATGACCCCAGACTCCATGCCAGTACCCACAGACTAAGCCTCCAGACCCACCCCAGCATCAGGCAAGACAATGCAGCCCCAGCTTCAGGTGTGCGTGATAAACTCCACTTACAGGCCACCATCACCAGGATAATGTCAGAGGCTTTGGGCTTCAAATCTTCCTCAACAGCAGGAAGGCCTCAGTGGCTCCTGAATTCAGGAACACAATTTGGCACCAATCACAGTGGCTCTGAGCTTCTGGCATGCCACAGCATGCTGCATCAGCCACCGTGGCCCTGGGTTGGGGAATACCACAAAGTCATACCAGTTAAAGTGGCTCTAGGCTTCTGAAGTACCCCAGCACCACACCCAACACAGTATCCCAAGCCTTAGGGACCAAATCACACAGCCTTCCCAGAATCTCTGGATGGGCTTATTATTGATGGGCTTTCCCAGACAAAGCCAGTAGTACCAGAGTAAGCACATACTCCTTCAAATATGCTAACATTGACACATAGCCACAAGGATCAAGAAAAATCAGGGAAACACATCACCAATGGGACAAAATAAAGTGTTAGTGACTGACTTTAAGGAAATGGAGATGTCTGAACTTCCTAACAAAGAATTCAAATAACTGTTTTAAGGAAGTTCAATGAGCTTCATGAAAATACAGAGCAACAACTCAACAAAATGAGAAAAACAAGTGACTAGAATGACAAGTTAAATAGAAAGACTGAAGTAATTTTAATAATCAAGCATAAATCATGGAGCTGAAAAATACAATTTTAAAAATGTAATAAAAGCATCTACAGGCTGGGCCCAGTGGCTCATGCCTGTTATCGCAGCACTTTGAGAGGCTGAGGTAAGAGGATGACTTGAGCCTAGGCGTTCAAGACCAGTCTGAGCAAAATAGCAAGACCCTGCCTCTACAAGAAAATTACAAAATTAGCTGGTATGCACCTGTAGTCCCAGCTAATCGGCAGGCAGACGTAGGAGGATTGCTTGAGTCCAGGAGTTTGAGGCTGCCGTGAGGTGTGATAACGCCACTGCATTCTAGCCTGGGAGACAGAGTGAGACCCCAACTCAGAAAAAACAAACGAACAGCAGAATTAATCAAGCAGAAGACTCTGAACTTGAAGACAAGTTATCTAAAAACATATATTCTGATGGAATTGATTCACAAGGCAGCATCAAAAAAGTGAATATTTGAGTCATAGGAGCTAAAGAGGAAGATAAATAAGTGGAAAGCTGATTTAAAGAAATAGTAGTAGAAAACTTTCCAAACCTGGAGAAAGATGTAAGTAAACATCCAGGTACAGGAAGGTCAAAGGAGAGTAACCAGATTCAATCCAAGCAAGACTGCCCCAAGACATTATAATCAAACTGTCAAATATCAAAGACACAGAGAGGTTCCTGAAAGCAGCAAGAGAAAAGAAGTAAATAATACATAAGGAAGTTCCAACATGGCTAGCAGCAGATTTCCCAGCAGAAACCTTATAGGCCAGATGATAAATTCAAAGTGCTGAAAGAAAAACAAACAAAAAAAAAACACCTTTCAACCAAGACTACTGTATGCAACAAAGCTGTCCTTCAGAAATGCAGGAGAAATAAAGACTTCCTTTTGTCTGGAAAAAGTTAATGAAGTTCATCACCAAAAGATCTGTCTTACAGAAAATGCTAAAGGGAGTTAGTCAAGCTGAAAGAAAAGAATGCTAATGAACAACATGAAAACATCTGAAAGTATAAAACTCACTGGTAAAAGTAAGTACACAGTCAAATTCAGAATACTCTAATAAAATGATGATGTGTAAGTACATTTTTAGTATGTGGGTTAAAATACAAAGGTATTAAAAATAATAATGGCTAAAATAATCTGTCAAAATATGGAGTATGAAAACATGTAAATTATGACATCAAATATTCAAAATGTGAGAAAGAGGAGTTGATTAACAGTGTAGAAATTTTTGTTTTATGTGTCTGATCAAAGTAATGTTGCTACAAACCTGAAATAAACTGCTATAACTATAAGACTTTTTTGTAAGCCTCATAGTAACTACAAAGCAAAAGCCTATATATTAAAAGATACACACAAAAAATAAAAAGCAAGGATTCAAAACATACCACTAGAGAAAATCACTTAATCACAAAAGACAGAAGAGATGAATAAAGGAAAAATGAATCAATAAAATAATTATTAAAGTAGTAGTAGTAAGTCCTTATCTATTAATAATTAACTTGAATATACATGTAAATTGATTATCCAATCAAAAGACAGAGAGTGGCTAAATAGATTTTTTTAAAAAAAACAAGGTCCAACTATTATTTGCCTACAAGAGACTCACTCACACACATAAGTGAAAGGAAAGAAAAAGATATTCTATGCAAACGGGAACAAAGAGCAGGAATAGCTACACTTACATGAGAAAAAATAGACTTTCAATAAAAAATTGTAAAAAGAAACAAAGAAGGTCATTATATAACTAACATAAAGGGGTCAATTCAGTAAGGGATACAACACATGTAAATACATTACACCCAACACTGAAATACCTAAATATATAGAGCAAATATAAATAAATCTGAAAGGTGAGATAGACTGCAATACAATAATAGGAAGGGATATCAACACCACACTTTCAGCAATGGACAGATCACCTCAACAGAAAACCCATAAGAAACATTGAACTCAAACTACACTATTGACCAAATGGACCTAACAGACATATACAGAACAATCCATCCAACAGCTGCAGAATACACACTGTTCTCAATTGCACATGGAACATTCTCCAAGCCTGGCCATATGTTAGGACACAAAATAAGTCTTTACAAATTTAAGAAGATTGAAATCATAAGTATCTTTTCTGACCACAATGGTATAAAACTAGAAATCAGTAGCAGGAGGAACTTCAGAAAATTCAAATAGATGGAAATTAAACAACATGCTCCTGAACAGCCAATGAGTCAATGAAAGGACTAAAAGAGAAATTTAAACTTTTATTGAGACTAACTAAAGTACAAAGAACCAAACAAACACAACATATAAAAGCCTATGAGATACAGCAAAATCAGTTATAAGAGGGAAATTTACAACAACACACGCCTACATCACAAAAGAAGAAAGAGCTCAAATAACCTAATGTTACACCCCAAGAAATTAGAAAAACAAAAGCAAACTAAATCCAAAATTAACAGAAAGAAAGAAATAATAAAGACTAGGGTGAATTGGTCAGGCACCGTGGCTCATGCCTATACTCCCAGCACTTTGGGAGGCCGAAGCAGGAAAATCACTTGAAAACAGGAGTTCAAGACCAGCCTGTGCAACCCTGTCTCCACAAAAAAAAATTTTTTTAATTAGATGGGCATGGAAGTGTGCACCCATAGTCCCAAGTACTAGGGAGGCTGAGGCAGAAGGTTTGCCAAGCCTCAAGAGGTCAAGGCTATGGTAAGTCATGACTGTGCCACTGCACTCCAGCTTGGGTGACAGAGTAAAAT